CATCATCTAGTCAGTGTCTACCAAGTTTGTTCAAATAAGTGCCATTGAGTTAAAATTGGCCCCGCCCCAGGGGTCATTGATTTTCTTATATGTGTATAGTAAAAACCCAAAGAGCTAGAGATTAGATTCTAAGCATGAAATATCTTCTAGTTAGTGTCTACCAAATTTGTTCAAATAAAAGCCCTGGGTTCAAAATTGGCTCCTCCGAGGGGGTAGGTCATTGTTTTTCCCTATATGTATATAGTCAAAACTTAAACAATCTTATTTAAACCCCAAAGAGTTAGAGCTTAGATATTTATCATGAAACATCTTCTAATTGGAGCCTACCAAATTTGTTCAAATTGGTTTAAAATTGGCCTTTGCCCGGGGGCCTATGTACAGGTGTGCGATTTCAGAGCCATCATGGCCCTCTTGATAAGATAACTTGGCAGAAATGATCACCATTATGACACCATTGGAAGAGCACAATAATCAAGTCACAACTTTGAAGGTCAGGGTCACACTTAAAGGTCCAATGTAAAAACATCTATTTTTAATGTCCGCTCTTTACCTTATTGACAATTAATAGGTTTTATAATTACTTGGTACAAATGATCGTCACCATGACATAATCTGCAGAGTTCAATATCCATGTTGCTACCCCCAAGGTCAAGGTTATATGTTCTCAGTAACTTTTTTTTACTTTATGGAAGATTTTAAATAACATGGTACAAATAATCACCATCATGAGACTATGTGCTTATGATATACATGGCATAACATCAAGGTCGTGGCTGTAAAAGGTTCACTGCGGAAGGGGATTTAGCTCTCCTTCAGACTGCCTTGTTGTAACATAGCAATTACTTTAATATAAAAATAACTTTAATACAACAATTAACTATTTAAACTTCATTAGTATTTTTTTTTTCAATTTAGGACATGCAATTTTTCGATAAAACAGAAAATAGTTGTTTGATTATAAAGAAGGTCAAAAAATGAATCTGTTTTGCCTCGTAAAGGTTGATAGATAAAGCAGACAGTATAACCAGTGTATTCATAATCATACATCGTGTCAATGTACACTGTAACTATCACAATATGTATGCCCAATCTGAACATCCTCGGCTATTATTATACCCCAACCACAAAATGTGTGTGTGTGTGTGGGGGGGGGGGTCAATTATGGATTCATTTTGCCGCGTCGGTCGGTCCGTCGGTCGGTCGGTCGGTCGGTCCGTCTCCATTATCGTGTCCCCTCTATAAATCCTATATCAATTGAAGGATTTTCTCCAAACTTGGCCAAAATGTTCACCTCAACAAGGGGATGTGCGGAAACTATGTTTCCCGTGTGTCAGCTCAAGGTCAAAGTCACAATTGAAGGTCAAATATCAAACAATCAGATATTAGACAGTATGTCGTGTCCGCTCTGTAAGTCCTACACTAATTGAAATATTTTCTTCAATCTTGACTCAAATGTCCACCTTTACAAGGTTATGTGCAGAACCCATGTTGCCTTTTTGCCGGCTTAAGGTCAAGGTCAAACTTGAAGGTCAAAAATTGACTTAGAAAATATTCTTAAATTTTAACATGTATTTGAAAATTTCTGAAACTAGGAAAGGTATTTGCTTGAAACTTAAAATATATGTGAAGTGTTACAAGAAGGATATGCAGGTCAAGTTTCATAACTCTGTATTGCATTTTGACAAAGTTATGCCCCTTTTTAAGTCTTCAAATTTACATACAATCCAATATTAAATGTCGTGTCCGCTCTATAAATCCTATACTTATGGAAGAAATTTCTACAAACTTTACTCAAATTTTTACCTCAACAAGGTTATGTGCAGTGTCCATGTTACCTTTGTTCTGGCTAAAGGTCAAGGTCACACTTGAAGGTCAAATATTGACTTAGAAATGTTCTTAAATTTTAACATGTACTTAAATATTTCTGAAACTAGCATAGGTTTTTGCTTGAAACTTTAAATATATATGAGGTGTCACAAGTTAGATATGCAGGTCAAGTTTCATAACTCTGTATTGCATTTGACGAAGTAATGCCCCTTTTTAAGTATTTAAATTTATATACAATCAATTCTAGGCAATATTTCGTGTTCGCTCTATAAATTCTATACTAATGGAAGGATTTTCTTCAAACTTGACTCAAATGTTTATCTCAACTGGGCAATGTGCATAACCTATCTTACACTTGTGCCAGCATAAGGTCAAGGCTACACTTGAAGGTCAAACATTGACTTAAAAAATGTTCTGAAATTTTAACATGCACTTGAATATTTCTAAAACTAGAACAGATAATCATTTGAAACTTCAAATATATTAGAAGTGTCGCAAGTAAGATATGCAGGTCAAGTTTCATAAATAAAAAGTGTAGGGGGATAACGTTGTATTGTATTTTGACAAAGTTAAGTCCATTTTTATGTCTTTAAAGCAAGCTCTGATGAAGAAAATTCTACAATTCCATTGAATTATGACACAAGTTATACCCTTTTAGGCTCAGAAAAAGTTCTGACATAACCATCAATACTAAAATGTTTCTGAAACTAGAACAGATATTCACTTGAAACTATATAATATATGACGGGTCACAAGTAAGCTCAGTATGCAAAGTATTTCCACTCTTAATTACATTTTGACATAAATATACTATTTTCTTAACTTCACTGCTTTTGTTTGTTTTAGTACATTCGGAAAATGAAAGGTTATTTGTTACTGTTTCGAATATGATTTGACAATATATATTATACTATTACCTGTACACTTTGCCTTTTTCACCAGAGATAATTTCTTTTTATGTATATGTATTTGTGCAACTTAAGTTATTCTCTTAAACACCTTTCCATGTCGTCGTCTGTCAAGGACATTGGTGGGGGTATGAATCGCATTCAGCGATAGTTATAGTCTATAATTACCTCGGAAACAAGACGGGTTGAAAGTAGTTCTACCACGTGGTTTTAAATGTAAACAGTAACACAGAGTAATGTAAAGCAAATGTTTATATTTGACATTCAAATGAAAATTAAGTCTGTTTCGGTACAATTATGATTGAAAATATGTCTGACAACCATTTTAATTCAGATATGCCAACTGATGTACAATTTTAATCAAATCCGCCTTAATGTCAACAGATTGGCATTTTGAAGGTATTTTCGTTTGCTACAACCATATTAGTAAATATATAAATGCTGTATTGTTTGCATTTGTATATATGGATTCACTTATTTTAGGTGAATGTTTACTTGGTATATTGGAAATAAATTTACCAACAACTCCCAGCATTAAAGAACTATTTGTTAACATGTTTAGTTTCTTAGAGTAGGTTAGACCGAAATACCGCATCCTTTCTGTGTATTAATACTATTGTGTTCGAGGTCCTTATCCGAAGACTTACAGAAAGGGCTGAAAAGTTGCGATTGGGTATATGTCCTTGCATGTAGATATATAGATACGTATGTGTCCAAGCATATGTTCGTAAATGAATGGTTATGTTTGTGGTAAAGACAAATACAAACATGACTTTCAATGTATCGTTATAAACTTCTTTAAACTGACGATCTAACACAGACCTATTTTTGTGATTAAGATCTGACTTTTTTATAATATAAAATATTAATCACTTTTCTGTATTAAGTTATATGATTTTTCTTCAAAGTATATTTCATTATTCTCAAAATTCCTATGAACCGCTTCAATAGCAACCCTCTCACACTTACAAACAAGCTTGCATCAGTTGGCCATTTTCCCTAGCCACTAGGGATTTTCTAGACCTGAAGTTATCTAACAAATTATCAAATGGGACAGAATATTGAGATATTTCTTTTGACTCTCAGTGGGAAATGCAACATACATTAAGATGTTAGAACAACTATGTGTAGTTTATGTGTATTGTTTTATTTATTTGACTGATATATTAGTTGTAAAAGCCATGTACAATAAATATAGCAGCAGCCGTAGCTATGACATTTGATAAGAACAAAGTTGAAAACGTGAACGATAACTGAACGAGATATGGCATAGGTCATACTCACGCACTGACTTCCGCTCTTTCGAATTGCATATACATATAGCTAAAGTTTGCAAATGTCTAATTTAGTTTTTTAACTTGAACATATGATTAAACATGCAATTCTACAACATTTTCATAAGCATTGTACAATATCTAAGGCAAATACACAAGTGAATAAAAATACACATCATTACATTTACAGCATGGAATAAAAATTGTAAAAATGTGTTAGTGGAAAAATAAATGTATATACCGCTAAATCAATATATTTTGACAGTACAATAATTATATACATTTGTGTACAATAATAAAGTTTTAAAATCACAGCTTGTTTATGACTATAAATCCGTGCCTAGACTATTGGGAAAAAAGGACTGTTTGCATGGAGTGTAAATCAAATCACATTACTAGGTTCTCTCTTGAAGTCCAGTTTTAACTACTTAAATATATATTTGAATTATCTATTGGGCACCACTTAGTAACTTGTGGCTATGACAAAGTATCTCGCACGAGATAAATAAAATTGCACAATTTTCACCTCTGTGCCACTGTACTTCAGTAACAGCTTCATTTGTAACTATGTTTTTTTTCCAATCATATCTATTCAAACACTGAAAATGTTTGCTTCTTACTTCACACACTAATCTATAATACATTATATACATTATTTTTTTTATTTATCATAGGAGTTCACTTTCCAAAGCCAGTAATTATGGCATAGATTTTAACTTAATTATGTCACTTTGTGAAAAAGATTCAGACTTAATAATGTATGCTTTATTAAATGAAATTTCATTTTTGATTATTCTTAAATTTTCAAGGCTTTTGTTTCACTATAAAAGTCTGAGAATAGTCGAATGAGCTATCCTACTGACAGCTTATGTTTTATCCTTACCATACAGGGATACCTGAATTTTATTACACATTTGACAAGAAATATGCTATTTAAATAAAAATATAATGTTTTCTAGTATGATTGTTGCTGTCCTTTTATAACTTGTATTTATTCCACTATCCTTCTATTGTCATTTCCACATTTTAGTTGTAACTTTAATGTCCTTGTACTTATCAATGCAGATAAAAGTATACAAATATGAATCTTTGCAGCATTGTTTCTCCCCCGAACTCTAAGTGACCTAGTGTAACAGTGTAAAGCATCTCCAGCTCTGCCTTCTTGTTCCAAACACTTTCCCAGAAGATTTAGAGCTGTTTCCCGATGTCCAAGGTTTGGTTCCTCATTTATGGTTCTGTCAAGGTTTGCGAGAGCGGCCTGTTTTTCTTCAAGTCTCCATAAGTGGCTGTAAACTTTGTATTGTAGAAAGTAGAGGTAAGGGAGGGAATCCACCACAGCACAATCCATCCATATGCCGTCTTCAAATGTACGGAATTTTCTCTCTTCTTGGGTAGATCTAAACCATTCATATCTGAGTTCATTTGGTACACAGTGAATTTCGCATGGCAGATATTTAACACATGATGCAGTTGTAAACTGTAAGATTACTTCATTATAATTGTCACATAATTGACCAAATCCTTGTTTAAAGTTTGTTGGCTCAAATATATGACAAATACAGAAAGGCTCAACAATTTGTAGATCATATCTTCTTTCAATTTCACTGAGTACTAGGTCAGTTTCTTGCATTTCTTGAACACAGTATAAGATTGAAGCTAGTTTCAGTTTACTTGATGCAACATCTGAATTCAGACCAAGTGAGATGATTCCGAAGGCATCTGCTGATACAGTGTTGTTATGATTTATGTTGATGGATGCCAGCACAGATCCAAGTAATGTATGATACATTGGTAACAGAAGAAGGCTGGCTGTCTCTTCCAATCCTTCATATTGAAAGAAGAATGTCTTTCTTATGCAGTTCTTTAATATTTCTACAACTTCATAAGCGCTTCTTCCTAAAAGACGATAATACATTTTTTTCACTTCGTGAAAAAGAGCACAAGCCAGATTCTTTAATAATGTTCCTGAAAACAAATCACTTTTAATGATAGGATATATGTTATTTAACTTAAGATAAAGTCTGAAACCAAGATCATCACATTTAATCAAATGTAGTGCCATTCCTTTACTGTTGATAAATGCGTTGAGTGTTTTAATAATATATGGTTTAACTGCAGGTGAAATTTTTCCCCTCATTAAATTGTTACCAGGAATAATAAAATGTGGACAATTTTCATTCATGATACTGTTGTTTAGGAAATACAAACACAGTAATAGACAATTAAGTAAGTTATTTTCTCTCCAGGTGTATGAAGGTGTATTGGAAACACAATGAAAGAGTACAGTTTTACACATAAAACTTGTTATAACATCTTTAAACAGTGAATTATTAAATGTTTTCAAAATCATTTTCATTAAGACATAACAGCGAATTTGTGTAATATTCAGGTTAAACATCAAACATCTTTCTGCTAAAGATGTTGATATTCTCCATTCAAATTGCTCATTTTCACTGCCACTACATCCAACACCAACAATAAAGCACCCAGTTCTGCTGCAATATTGTTTCATATCCACAGACGGCCACTGACCTTCACCATGTTGATCCAACCATTGTGTAGCTTGATGCGGCCATGTTGTACATTGTAGAGCCATTACACTATCTTTATCACAGAAACCTGGGTTTCCTTGTATTGCATATGCTGGCCCATGTACTTTATATCCGTTCTTAATTAAAACATGGGCCATAGAATTTTTTACAAGTAATTTTCCCGTGCTGGCTTTGAAAACGAACTTCAAACCAGGAGGAGGATTATCAGTTCCCAGCAATTGAAGAAAACAATATCCAGGAGGTGCAGAATTATCTTGAATCATCAAATGATTAACTTTACTAGGTTTCGAGTCACTCAAGTTTTGTATCGCCCATACGATTTTACTGTAGATTAGTTGATCATTGTCTGAATTCATTCCAATTGTTGTTGTGCCTTCTGATTGACTCCCAAAATTGTGTGCTACGATATCTTCCTCAATTAGTGTGGAATTTATATTCAATATTGTTTCACTCAGAAGCCATGTTCTTCTCCTCTTCAGTACCATTCTCTCATCAACACCTATATCAACCAAAACCTCTGTTAGCTTTTTTGACATAGTCTGGGTTGATCTTGGTACTTGATACATTCTGAAATTATTTAACAGTTGTTATGGTTACAAAAGGTGAAATAAGTAAAACACCAAAATGATCATGTAGAAACATATAAAGGAAAACCGAATGAGCATTAAAGGTACTCAATGTCAAGACAGAACAAGGAAGATGAACATTAGGGCAATATAGTCCGAATTGTTCATCAAATAGTCTCCCACTTGGTCCCTCAGAGATGTAATCAAAAGAGGAAAGCAAAGTACAGAACTGTAAAGGGGTTAAACACTAAGCATGCAGTATGTCTTAAAATAGTAGGGTCATAAAGTCTTTAAATAAAACGTTGATTTTAGTCACAACATCAAAATGATTACCATGACCCAAAATCTTACGAAGTTTGTGAAGCACATCGCCATAAAAACCAGGCTGGATAATCCCTTGTCGCAGAAGTGTTTTTTTTTTAATCACTATAGAATTTTGAAATAATATCATAATTACGATTGTAAAATTTTGTAAAATATTTCAGTAATTCATGTTTTAGAAGCTTGCTGGTAATGAAAATTCGGTTCGTTGAAATCCTTCACTAAACTCTGGCAGATCTAGTTAAGTGAGAATCAAAAATACCACGTAAGATGTTGTATGGGATACAACTCCATCTAAATGTACATAATTAACTACACCAAAGTCATCCTTTTTATAATAGATTTTTGTGTGAATAGAATTGTTGTTGACAGTAATATGAAGAACCAAAAATGATGTACTTAATTTCATGAGTTCGTTTTATTAAGTAGTATTTCACGGTGATAAATGCCGGACACCATATGATCAAAATAACTTTTATCTAAATTAAATATATCATCAAGGTATCTAGAAGTATTATTAAATGCTACTTTAACATCTTGTTGTATATCTTCAGAGAGACTCAACTTAAAGTCTCTTTCATAGCAGTTCAAAAATAAATCGGGGAGCAGGGGTGCACAATTAGTACCCATAGGAATTCCTATGATCTGATAAATAGGATATTACCAAACTGCACATAAATGATGTCTAAAAGAAAATTGAGTGCTCTACAAACTTCATGACAAGTCAAAATAGTATAATGTGTAACAACACTGTTATTAAAAAAACTTTGTTAGAATAACATGCAAGAAAGGTAACATTTTCTCGTGCAAATGTTTTTTACATCAGATAAATTAGTTTATCATCAAGTCATTCATGTGGCAAAGATTTATAAAGTGTAGAAAAATTGAATGTACTGACAGTTGAATCTTGATAGTTCTTAATTTTGAAACTATCCAAGATTTCACCAGGATTTTTGATAAACCAAAATAGATGTTTGCCTGTGTTTTCATAGATCACAATATCTTATTACATGTGTTTCAATGGCAGGCAAACAAGACGTCAATAAAATAGAAAGTTTACTTGTAGTAGTCTTTTGCAGCCTACTACGATGCGGACAGCGGACGATGAACTTCTGATAATTTTCAGGTGTTTTCTCAAAATAATAATACTGTATATAATTTAAAGTTAAAGGGTAAGTAAATGATAATAAACAATCTAGTTTTCAAATTTGTGTTAATAGTTCAAGCCAATTTCTTTCCGTCTGCAAACAAGTTCGGCGCATATCATTACAGTGTTACTTAACAATTTTCTTGAATGTCTCAACACCGAGCTTATAGCACGATAAGACTTGAGTTGGGAAATTGCATGTTCGATAGTCACCCTGTATGATTTTACATATCTATAACATTTCTTACATTTTCGTAGCTCTTGGCCTCGTTTTCGCGACAGTTGGGGATATATCTTATCTCCTAGTGTGTTAAACTCAGGGGGAAATCAAATTCATCTCCTGTACCAACATTTGTCATCAGTGCATACTGCTGTGCATCATTTGTATGACCATGGAAACCACTCTCAACATGAACAATATATATATATATATATATATTGGTATGACATGGAAGACTTTACATATAATACATGAATTATTATATCCTTAACACAAATATCATGAGAATGTAACAAAGGAAAAAATATATTTATATATACACAAAATCATATGCCATCTACAGCTATACACATATATAAACCAGGAGAAGTGAAATAATGAAAATGATTTTTGTTGATCAAAAATGGAAATAAATGTTGAAGTTTCGGCTATAGAAATAATAAAACTCCTGAAAAATAAATGCGATAAAATATCCTAATCTACAGTTTTATCAGAATACAATATTAGACTTTAAAATAGTGACTGCTGTAAAATTTTAAATAAATGAATATGTTTAGTTAAAAAACATTTTCCCTTTGCCGGAAAGAACAACGGCAGGCACAGGGATAGAAAAAGGCCACTAGTAGCACTGATCAGAGAAAACCAGCTGGCATACAACAAGTTCATCAAAAATCAAGTTTCCAAATTATTAAGAGAACTCGGAGTCAGCTCTGATGATGACTGAAATTTTTTTAGATATATATAAATGTTAAATAATTTACGACCATAAAATGTCATATAAATAGTAACGTGTTTTTGTCTTTATCACCATAAATATTGTAACTCCCGATACGCCCATGTATAGATGAGAAAGTTCGATGTCCTGAATTTTGACTTTTCAGCTTACAACCATTTTGAAAAATTCCCCGCTACATTTGTCCACTGTCAATGTCAGAGTAAGCTGCAAAACCATAGTGCAGGATGTAGAATTAGCAATGAAAATGGTTTTGTAAGTTTTGCTAATTTAAGAATTGTTAGAATACGAATTAGTACTATTAAGTTCATTATGCAAAACGGTAATGTAATGTTACATTCTTAGGAAGTTTCTTATCAAGTTTGTTCATAATAATGTGATAGGCATCTTTAATGGGCCGCTTAAGCTAAAAACGGAATAACCTTTGAACACCATCTCCTAATGAAATAATTGATGGATAATCACCAGACTTTGTCTGTAGCATTCGTAGGTACTCTTTAATCAACTTTGCTCATATTAATTCTATTGCCCCCTTGTAGGGGGCAATAAAGCTAAAAATAGAAATAACTTTAAAAGTTTGCTTCTACAGAACTTATTGATGAATGATGAAACTTTGTCTGTAGCATTCTTAGGTAGTCTTTTATCTTTTACTTAAAAACAGTTGTTTCTGGTGAGCGACTCAGGGCCGTAATGACCCTATTGTTTTGTCTTTGTCATATCATTTATGAAAATGAAACTTAAAAGAAGTATATTTTTTTTGCAAATGTTTTAAAATTAAAACAATTTAAAATACACGTATGAAGAAGCTTGAAGGAAAGATTAAATATTACATAAATAATGTGTAACAGACCATAAATTGTATATCTAAACATATATCTTGTATATCTTCCATTACAGGTGGGTTTTAATATATTATATTTTTGTAGTATCCCCCATTGGACACAAACTAGAAGAGACTTTTTGAAAAATAACTACTGATAAACAATATTTATTGACAAGAATTTTGTTAAACAACGTTGTTATTTATAACAGAGACTTAACACAAAAAGCTAGTTATTCTACATAGTGCTTGTGATTTCATTCTATATAGTGCTTGTAACACTTAATTCCGTGTGACACTAAATAGTGCTGTGACACTTTAGTGTTTCTGAAACTACAAAATGCTTCTGCCACAGCGTTTTTACATTGAAAACTGTGAGAACTGCTCAAGTAGTACCTTTTCGGAATAAGAAAGCTATATTTTGGCTAAAATTAATGGGTTTAGCAGTAGCAATGAGTTTCAAAACTGAGTTAACTTTTTTTTAAAGTGTAGATTAAAATAATTTTAGACTATTTTATCTAGCCATATCATTCCCATTTTAATAACATCACTTAATTAGTATTTACAAAATTAATGTTAATTTAGGCAGCTTACATCCTGATTTTGAGCAAATGACTCATTTTGTGGACAAAAAAGATATAATTTTTGTGCTTTTTTACTTTTTTTTTTGAAAAATAACAACAACAAAAAAAAAACAAAGCAAAACGTCATCACTTAAACAGGATTTTATGTTTTTAAATTTGTTTCAAAAATTTATATGAAATATCTTGATTACTAATCAGTGAGTAAGAGAGTTTATTTGACTCTGTCATTTATCAAAGGAATTTGAAATAACTTGGCACACACATGACACATGTTTGTTATAATAAGACGATGTGTCATGCGCAACAACCAGACCCCTACCTCAAGAGTCAAGGTTGCACTTGCTCATTCAAGGTCAACGGTATATGTTGTGTCCGGTCCATAACTTTCTTATCATCGAAGAGATTTTGTAAATACTTGCCGCAATTGTTCACAATAATGAGAAAGTTTGTCATGCACACAAACTTGTCACCTACCTCCAAGGTCACACTTGGAGGTAAAAGATTAACATAGAATGTTATAGGGTATAGTTTGTGTCCGGTCCATAACGTTTTCATAGATCAAAGGATTTTGAAAATACTTGGCACAAATAGTAACTATAATAAGATGATGTGTCATGTGATATACCTGCATCCCTACATCTAAGGTCAATGTCACACTTAGAGGTCAAATTTTAACATAGTCTGTAATAGGATATATTGTGTGTCACGTCCATAGCTTCTTTATAGATCAAGGGACTTTGAAAATACAAAACTGTACTTGGCACAAATTGATGATATGTCACGCGCAACACCTGTGTCCCTACCTCCAAGGTCAAGGTCACACTTAGAGGTCAAAGATTTTCATAGTCTGTTATAGGGTATATTTTGTGTCCAGTCCATAACCTTTTCATAGATAAAGGGATTTTAAAAATGCTTTGCATAAATGTTCACAATAATAAGACGATATGTCAGGCTCAAAACAGGTTCCTACCACCAAGAACACACTTTAAGGTCAAAGATTAACAAAGTCTGTTATTATATAGGGTATACACTTAACAAAAGTTCTAACCGATCACTTTTTAAATTTTGATTATTTTATAACGGGTCAATGGATCCTTATAAAATTTTGCAGAGGTGATTTTTGTGTCATTTTTCACCGATTTGTGGAATGAAAGATAATTTAATACGGTTCCATG